GTTTTTACCGGGTTTCGGCGTCCCAGGCCTCGGAGGCCGCCGCGATGGTCCCAGACATTTGCCAGATCCGCGGCGCGGGCTTCAAGACCAATCCGCAGAGGGTTCCAACATGCTCCAGGGCAGCCCACGGGGGCTCCAAGACGGCTCTAGGAACGACTGCAGGCTCTCATTTTTTGTGTTTTCTGCAAGACGGCTCCAGGAAGACTGCATGTCTTATGAGGATGGCTTCCGCCTCTTGCCCGAGCGTCCCAAATTGCCTGAACGGTTCCCACTCGCCTTCCCCAAACCCAGCCCTTGCCCAAGCGCGTTCCGGACGGTCTTCGCCGGAACGCGCCGGAATGATCACGCGCTGCGGTTTCCCATGCCAACGTCCTCGGACGTGGGCGCCCTGCCACGAGCGCGTTCCGGGAAGATGCTCCCAGAACGCGCCGAAAAGACATGGCCACATCTCGGGGACGCTCCCGGCACTGGTCCCCCAGCCTTTCTGGGGAGGCTCCACAGCGCTCCTGGAGGGCCCAAGATGCCCCCCAGGAACCCCCAGAATTCGAAAGAATGGCCCAAGACGCTCCCGAGCAGCCCAAGTCAGCCTTCCGACGGCTCTCGAGGCTCCCAGGTGGCCTCCAGGAGACCCCGAGAAGTCTGATAGGTATCACGGTACGGCCCGAAGAGGCCAAAGTCGTATATGTTCAATGGTCTTTCAATGTTTTTGGCTTCTCGCGTTTTCGAGCTTCCAACGGTCCAAGAGCGCCGAAGAGCCTCCCAAGACCGCCCCAAGACCACCCAAGAGACCCTCAGGACGCCAAGACGGGCCAAGGCTCCAAGACTGCCGAAGAGGCGCCCAGCACAGCCCCAGACCACCCCAGAACAGGCCCAAGATGGGCCCAAGAGCGAGAGCAGGAGGCTTCCAGAGACCTCCGAGAGGCCTCCCGGACCCCCCAAAGGCCCCCAACACACCCCCGATCCTTGAGAGGCCCCAAAGAGACCCCGACGAGGCCCCAAGAACAGCCCAAGAGATCTGCGAGAGCCGTCCCGAGAGAGCCCAAAGAGGGTAACATCGTTGATGTCCTATGGTTTTTCCTATGTTGTTCGCCTTCTCACGTTTTCCCGCTTCCAGCCCTCAAAGATCCAGGATTTGGGAAAAAAGAGAGGTAATTCCAATAATTCCTTTTTTTCATCAAAGTGGAACTCCTATTCGGGGTCCTACATATCCCCTGGCATCTGGCCGGTACCGCGCCCCCCGGCTTCTTAACGTTTTCGCGGAGTCTCCGAAGGCCCCAAGGAATCCGGGAATTGTGGATTTGGGTTAGATGCTCGTCTATTCAGGACTCAGGACAGAAATTCATGCGCGAACAAGCATGTCCATCTCTCGTTCAAGTGCCGTGTGGGACAAGTAATGCTGGGGTATTTAATTGCATGGCGCTGCAGCCCAGGGCAGCAGCGCCTTTCACGCAGCAGTATGCAGCGAGCTGCAGCCCAAGGTAGCAGCTCATGTACAGCGCTTGCCGCTGCACCCCAGGCACTTTCTACTCAGAGCAAGCGACGCCCGCTGGCCGCCAAGATGGCCCCTTAGTGGTCCAAGACGCTCCAAGATGCTTCAAGGCGGCCCCCAGGGGCCACAAGATGCCCTGGAACTCCCAAAGGCCCTCCCAAATGACCCCAGAGAGCCACAATCGCAAAAGCCATTCAGGTTTCTCCATATTCAGTAAAGCTCACGCTCGTCTCCTTCGAATGACTTCGGGAGAGTTTCACATGGCGCCGAGGCTCGAGACGGCCCCACAATTTCGAAGAAGAGCCCAAGAGGGGCCCAAGCGGGCCCCAAGGCCTTCAAGGCAGCCCAAACAGGAAGATCCACAGAAGACCCGTACATTTCAAGCCGGCCCACTTCATATTGAATATCTTCCCGCGCCGGCCCTGAACAGCTCGAAGCCCCTGCATAATACCAAGCAAGAGGATGCCGTCGATAAGAACGAGAAACGAGAAGCGAGGACAACTGAGAGAGTGTGGAGGGTTAGCGAGGAAGGACATATAAGGAATATTGGAGAACGACGTAAAGCAAGGCATGGAGTGAACCTGTCCGAAAAGCACGCGCAGCTAACAACCAAGCGCGCGCGAAGCGCGCGCGCGGTTCTATATAATATAAATCAATACCGCCCCCCCCGGCCTTGGGTCCCACACCTCCCCGCCACATCTCCCCGTACCGCTTCCCAGGCCTTTCCGGGGAGCCTCCACAGCGTCCCAGGAGGGCCCAAGACGCCTCCCAGAAGCCCCCAGAATTCGAAAGAATGGTCCAAGACGCTCCCGAGCAGCCCAAGTCAGCCTTCCGACGGCTCTCGAGGCTCCCAGGTGGCCTCCAAGAGACCCCAAGAGAGGTCCGAGAGGCGTCCCGGAACGGAACGAAGAGGCCCAAATCGTAGATGTTCATTGGTTTTTGTTTCAATTGTTTTTGACTTCTCGCGTTTTCGAGCTTCCAATGGTCCAAGAGCGCCGAAGAGGCTTCCAAGACCGCCCCAAGACCACCCAAGAGACCCTCAGGACGGCCCCAAGACGGGCCAAGAAGGCTCCAAGACTGCCAAAGAGGCGCCCAGCACAGCCCCAGACCGCCCCAGAACAGGCCCAAGATGGGCCCAAGAGCGGGAGCAGGAGGCTTCCAGAGACCTCCGAGAGGCCTCTGGGACCCCCCAGAGGCCCCCAACACGCCCCCGATCCCTGAGAGGGCTGAAAGAGACCCCGACGAGGCTCCAAGACGAGCCCAAGAGAGCTGCTGTCCCGAGAGAGCCCAAAGAGGGTAACATCGTTGATGTCCTATGTCATTGAGGGCCCCAAATCGTTGAACACGTAAAGGAAATTCATGATTTCTGCGTTTCCGCACTTCCCCTTCTATGCGATTCCGAGGCTTGAGCAGAACCTCCAAGGGAGTCCCTGGACGCATGAAGCGACCAACATGAGATTACATGAGTTAGCCTATCAAGCCTAGCTAGAACTTGAGCGCGCGCGAAGCGCGCGATAGTTCTAGCATATATATATATATATAGAAATACTATGCCCTTCGGCCCATCGCGCCACCGTCCCTGGGTTGTGGGTCATCGCCCACCTGGATGTTCGTCATGTTCTCGTCGGATTGTAAGCCCCTTTGGGGGATATGGATTTCACCGGTCCCATCAGCGGAGCGCGCCCTCCTATTGGAAGCGAGGCAAGCCGAATTCCCCTTTCCAAGGTCAATTAGCGGAACCGCTCTCCGCGAAGTCGGGCCAAGCCATCAAGTAATTTCGGTTGGAGGCAAATTTGTGGAGAGCGCTTTTCCGCAGGAGCGGACGCGGCAGAGTTCCAGAGCCTCCTCGATCCGGGCCTGAAGAGAATTCTCAGGCTCTCGGACTGAGGTTCGAGGGATTGGACAAGGGACCTGCGCACGGTCCACTTCGTGCCACAAGGGCACGGTGGCGAGTGTACACGTGTGTACATACGCATTGTTCATTTCTGATTCTTCGAGAGTTCTTTGATTTTTTGGGGGGCTAAGATCCTTTCATTTCAAATTCTTCTGTCCTGGGCCTCTCCTTGGCCACTAGGGGGCCAGCAGGAGCAATTAAAAACGAGCGCAATTAGACATGAGCACGATTAGAAATGGACGACGTGTATATGTGTACGGCATCCATACACTTATATCAATAAACGCATGTACAGATAATGGCCGTCCGCGCATTCCGCCACCTTGCCTGGGACACGGGCCTTCAGGATGGGCGTTGGAATGTCGGGGGAGGCCTCTCAGGGGCCTCGTAGATGCAGGTTTGAGGCCTCTTCGGCACTGTTGTGGGGCCGTTTGTGTCGTCTCGGGGGCCTCTTGCGGCGGCCTCTTGGGGCCTCCTGGGGGCCTTTGGGGGTCTCCTGGAGGCATCTTGCGACGGAAGGCTCGAGTTGTCGGTGCGGGCTTCCACTCTTTGGCCATTATTGGGGTAGTCTTGGGGTTCTCTTGGGCCGTCTTGGGCGCATCTTTGGCAGTCTTGGGGACCTCTTGGGCCGTCTTGGAGCTCTCTTTGGGGGGCGTCTTGGGCCGTCTTGGACATTGTGAATTCTCACATGTCGTGTGAGCGTGTGTGTGCAACAACAAACGCACGCTTTCTACAAGGATTTGGACGATGTTTGCTTCTTGGGGTCCCCTAGGGGGTGCTCTTGAAGGTCTCTTGGGGCGTCTTGGGCGCCTTCTAGGCCGACTGGGGGCCATCTTGGGCGTTTTGGACTGACCCTTCGACGATTCGGGGCCCTCTTGGACCGTCTCGGGGGGCCTCTTCGGACCTGCTTGGCCCGACTTTGGGCCCGCGTGGCTCCGACAGGGTCACGCGACAAGACGCCCGTGGCCCAGGGGGGCACGCAGAGAGCCCTGGAAGATTTGAGAGCGAGGGATGTCGGCCCCTCAGAGAAGCCTCAGGACAAAGGATTGAGGATTGAGGCTCCGAAGGGTTCGGCAAAAGACCTGAGGACACTCCAACTCGTGCCTCAGGGCACGGTCGTGGAGATCACTTGCAGTGTATCTCATCCCTCCGCTCTCACTCAGGCTCCCGCCGATGTTCACTCGGCTCCTACAGTCAATGAGTCAAACCGAATAGGTACGGATGAGCGGCGTTCCAAGCTTACCCTTGCATTCTTGCCCCTTCGACCCATCCTTGGCCGCTTTCGCTGGCCGCGTCCCGCTCGCAGAGTGCCGACATGGCCCGCCAAGGCCCTTGCATCCTCATCGCGCGTCCTTATTATACGGGTTGGCTGTATCATCATTCGGCTCATACCCTCAGTGATTTCTCTAGATACCCTCAAGAGGCCACGGCCCCTTGGTTTCCTTCCTCTGGTGCGGGACCTGCCCCCCCACCCCGTCCACGCAGATGCCTCGGGCAATGCTGCGCAGACCCCGCCTTCCTGGGCCCCCTCCTCGGCGGACCCGAGAGTGCCCCACGTGATGATCTGGCAGACCTGGTGCGTCCTGGGCCTGCGCCGCTCTTCCTCGAAGCACCGAGGCAGCTACGCGTACAACCCGGAGGAAACCGGTGCCGACTGCACCTGCGAAGGTCAGGCGGGTGGTAAGTGGGGGGGCTACTTACATGGGGGTGAAGGAAAGGGCACTGAAGGGGCCCTGTCCTTCACCCACCATGCAGGTCACACCCCAGTACCACCCACCCGAGAAGGTGGTCCTGCCGACGTTGATGACTGCTACCGCTGGTTTCAGGCTGGAGCCGTGCGGGGTCTGAGGGGGGCAGGAAGGCAATTGTTCCCGCCAGCAGGAAGGGCGGGGAGGTCCGAGGTTCTGGGTTAGTTTTTCTGTTGTCAGAGTGAGGGGGCCGAACGGTCATTCATTGTCCCTGGGTGCGTGGCTGAAGTGGGGATCCGTGGTGAGGCTTCTGATTGTTGCGTTGTTGCTGTTGCTTGTTTGTTTTACGCGTGTGCTCCCCAATCCGAGCTTGCCTCGGTAGAGGTCCCAGCGGATCCATATTGTTAGGTTGGCTGCGTCGCCGATTTCGGTGGCACACCCGAGAGCCCGGGTGCCTGGGTGCCCGGGAGTTGCGTCGCCGATCTCGGCGGCCCGCCTTGCTGCCTGGGTGCCTGATAGCCCTATAGCCGTAAAGGTTTTTAGCCCTACAGCCCTATAGCCCCGTAGCCCGATGGCCCTATCGCCAGATAGTCCAACAGCTCTGAAGCCCTCTAGCCCTATACCCTTCAGCCTGATAGCCCCAGAGCCCTACAGCCCTACAGCCCTATAGCCCTATACCCCCATAGCCCTATAGACCTATAGCCCTATAGCCCAATCGCCCTTAACCCGTTAGCCATATAGCTCTACAGCCCCAACGCACTATCGCTATATATAGCCCTACAGCTGTATATGCCTATAGCCCTATAGACCTACAGCCCTACAGCCCTGTGTTCCTATAGACCTATAACCCCATAGCCCCACAGACGTTTAGCCCAATGGCCCTATGGCCCTACAGCCCTATAACCCCATAGCCCCAGAGCCCCATATCCCTATAGTCCTGCAGCCGTATAACCCTATAGCCCTATCGCCCTATACCGCCCTATAGACCTACAGCCCTATGGCCCTATAGCCCCAGAGCCCTATATCCCTAAAAAGATTATGAATGTTTTTTCTCCGGTATCACTTGTTTGTTTGTTTGTTTTTTGTCGTCGTCAAACCCGCGACCCATCCGCGACCCACCCCACGACGCTTTCCGCGCCCCACCCCGCGACCCACCCCGCGACCCATCCCGCGACCCACCCCGCGACCCACCCCGCGACCCACCCGCGACCCACCCCGCGACCCACCTGCGACCCACTTGCGACCCACCCGCGACCCCCCGCGACCCACCCGCGACCCACCCGCTACCCATCCGCGACCCAGCCGCGACCCAGCCCGCGACCCGCCCCGCGACCCACCCGCGACCCAACCGCGACCCACCCGTGGCCCAACAGCGACCCACTTGCGACCCACCCGCGACCCACCCGCGGCCCATTTGCGACTCACTTGCGACTCACCCGCGACCTACCCATATTTGATATTTGTTTAACGAAGAATCGGCGCCGGCGGCGGGCTCGTTGTATAACTTGTGTATCTTTGGCGCCTGCGGTGGGCTTCTCCTGAGTCTCGCAAACTGCCGACGTCCCCACCGCCACCTCACTCTTATCCGCATCTGCGGGGTGCTACGTAATTATTGTTCGGCCTCCAGAGGCCATTGTCGGAGCCTGGGGCCGTCAAAAATGGATCTGGAGTGAATAAGTGCACCAGATCAGCCCCCAGGAGGAATCCAGGGACCGATTTTGAGCGGATTTGGCTTCACTCTTCCCTCCCGACCAACTTCCTGGGGCCCCAGTTGATACCTCCCGGCCGCCTCCAAGTCGCAGGCCCTCTGGGAGGAGCAGGTGGAGTGGCTCCAGTTGCACTTGTCCAACTCCACGGCCGACTGGCAGATCATCGTCACCCACTTCCCTCCCACGTACGACCGGGAGGCCCGATGCTTTCTTGGGGGGCCAAGATCCTTACATTTCTAATTGTTATATCATGGGCCTCTTCCTGGCCACTAGGGGGCCAGGAAAAATTTGAAACGAGCACGATTAGAAATGAGCACGGTTAGAAATGAACGACGTGTAGAGCGTTCGTAGATCTACAAAAAAGCTGAGTATGTTTAGTGGGATCGACGGGAAACAAATTTCGGGGTGAACAGCTCGGTAGGTGATGTCCTGCGAGAAGAGTGCTCGCGCCCCGTGCCTCCTCCCCGCCTTCTGCCTCCTCATCCCGCCTCGTTCTCATGTCTCTCCAGCCTCCCTCTCCCGGGCCTCCGGCGGTGTTTCTGTCCGGACCGCCGCCGGTGCTCGGCCGACGGTTGCCGGCATGTCTCACCAAGCGGCCGTGCGCAGGGGAGCGAACAACAACATAAACATGAAACCTCGGAGGTCCCCGCGGATTCCTTGCATCTGCGCTGGAACCCCTTGGCGGCGCCTCCGGCGTCGCCCCTGCCGCGCTCCGCGCGCCAGGGAGGGGGGTCGAGGACGGATCCAAGAAATCCGCGCGGACCTCCAAGTTGTTAGGTTCCTGTCATCGCTCGTTCCTCTAGTGTGGTTCGAGGCGTTGGCGTCCGGTGGGGAGCGGTCGCTTGCTCCTCCCCGTCCCATCGCCGAGCGCGTTCCCTTACTCGCAAAGTGCCTGCTCGCAAACGTCCGAAAAACCTTACGTCAGACTTTTCGCAACTCCTCGCAGATCCTCCGCGGAGGATCCAGGCCATTTGCGAGTAGTCACTGTGCGAGCAGTGGAGCGCGCTCGTCTAGGGCTCGCATGCTGACCCCCCCCTGTCGGGGGGAGGAGAAGCGATACCAACACCACCAGGGGGGGCCCACCGCCAGCGAGGAGGCCCTCGATGCCTCTCTGAGCTGGAGGCTGGGGATGTCTCGAGCGAGAGAGGGGGACCACACCACCAGGGAGTTCCCCCTTGCCTCCTCGCATCTCCTCGCCCTGTTGGCGTTGGTGTCGCCTTTCCTTGTTTCTACCCCTGCTGAGAAGGCAGCACGGACATCACGAGGGCTCCGGCCCCCCCGCGCAGGCCTCGAAACGGGCACCGCTCCCACCCAGCGGCACCGTTCGCTCGCCTCGCGCTCGCCTCGCCCCCATCTGAGAAGGCTCAGGTCCAGCTCCGGCCTGTCTGACTTGCGTTACCAGCTGGAAACATATCCCTATCCCTATGTTTGGCATCACCTTTCCTCGGTGCTGATCATTCCCGTAGTTTCTGAGGGCACGTCCCCAAGATTGGCATCGCCTTGGGCTTGCCGATCTTAGGGATCGGGATACGTTCGAGGCTGGTTATATGAAGATAGCAAGCGATGACATGGACATGACCTTCCGCAGGTCCACGTCGATTTCTCGGGTCTGCGCTGGAACACCTCAAAGAGGCGCCTGTGGCGCCCCCCCTGGCGCGCTCTGCGCGCCATGGAGGGGGACTCGGCGCCGATCCGAGAAATCCGCGCGGAGCTCCGAATTGTTGTGCTGCTGTCATGTTGCGTGTTCCTCGATGGTTGTTACCCAGAGACGAGTCGGAGGTCAGACAAGGCACCAATTTCGTGAGCTGTGCTCCTGACCCCCTGCAGGGGGCCTCTCGTGCGCCCATCGGCCGCGACGCCCCTCTCTGGAGGGGTCGCCGCCGCGATGGGCTCCCCCTCAGAGGGGGAACGAGAGTCGCAGCAGCCCCCCTCCGCTACGGCTGGTCGGGAGGGGAGGCCAAGGAGGGCCCAGACCCCTTCGAGTCACGAGAAGATCACGACGCGAGGTGCTTCACGATGTTCGGCCCCTGGGGGCCCTTACCGGGCCTCGTGACCGTCCAACAACTATGCGGGAACTAGGCGTATCGGGGGAGCGTAAGACCCGGGTTTGCCGGGACTCGGGTTCGCCATCGTTTTTTGACGACCGCGACTCGGATTTAGACGAGGAGGAGTTTCGTGGGATGTCTGCAGCGGGAGGCCTCGTCAAAATGCAGGCTCGGCCTCGTCATTTTTTTGACGACCTCGTCGGGGATTTCCGAGTCCCCCGTACCCGGGTCTTACGTCTCCCCGAGCGTAACAGTGATCTTTCGCCGGAGTGACCTTCAGTGCGGGCACACATGGGCCCCCAGATGGCCGAAGGAGAAGCGGCAGCAGCGGCTCGCGCGCTTGTTTTTTTGTTTCCCCCTCCGCGGCCCCCAAAACGCCGCGCAGCAAAGGTCACTCCTTGCCCAGGGTAACTCTTGCGCATAGCCGAATGTGCGGGTCGACAGTACGAACAAAGTCACGAGTCGGGGCTCTGGGCCCCGTCGCGGGTCGTTGTGGCCCGCGGCGAGGGCAGCATCAGGCGCGAGGCCGTCCTCCGCGGCCCACCGCTGGGGACTGTCAGTTGCCGAATTCGCTAATGCCTGCGTGGGTATCAACGAACACCAGCGATGTCCTGCTTCCTACTGTTCGGATGCAACTCCTGGGAGGTCAAATTCTGATTCAGCCCTGGTCCGAAATCTCGCCTTATCCGGCTCAATCCCGCTTAATCCCGCTTGATCCGGCCTAACTAATCCCGCTTAATCCCGTTTAATCCGGCTTAATCCCGCCTGATCCGAGGCCCTTTTTGGCGTAACAGCCCCCCACTAGGGCTTTATCCTCCTTAATCCTTCCTACGAAAACCTCCCAGTAGTTGCCTCCTAACTATTGCATTCTGCTTCTTTGTGGCTCGGAAGAAACACTTGGGATTTCGAGGTCAACGCGCGGTCCATCGCCGCACGGATATGGGACCGAGAGTTTTAGGGCTGCGTGGTTCATGCGGGCGCAGCGCGCTGCCGCGGCGCCAGGACAGCGAGGACAAGTGTCAGAGGCTCCACGAGAGGGATGATAACGAGAGTCGTGCGGATCCCTGATTTCATGGCCCCTCTCCTTCCAGAGCGTTTTTTGCTCTCCCTCGTCCGCGCATCTCCTCGGGCCATGATGCGTGCACCACCCTCTTCCTGGCCCCCCTCTGTGGCTCACCTGAGAATTGTTGGGAGTGGTGTCGGGCGTGGTGTCTACAGCTCGCGGTGTCTGCGGCTAGTATTGTGCAGCTGGTCGTGGTGAACACTCAGCGCCTCCGGGTCATAGTTCAGCCTCAGCACTTTTCAGCACGCGTTGCGAATCCCACCAGCGGCCATAATCCAAAATCAAGAACAAACAAGTGTATTCAATAAGTCGAGTCTGCAGAATCATTAATTTTCGGATGTCTCCGCGGATTCCTTGCATCTGCGCTGGAACCCCCTGGCGGCGCCTCCGGCGCCGACCCTTGCGCTCCGAGCGCCAGGGTAGGTGGTCCAGCGCCGATCCAAGAAATCCGCGCGGTCCTCCGAAAGAGTATCCTCATGCAGTTTCCCTTCTTTCTGGAGTAGTGGAAGGAGGATGGATGCGGGAGCAGTGCCTTCAGTTGTTCGGCAACCTCTCCCTCGATTACGGCATCGACCTCTTCGTGACCGGGCACCTGCATCGTCAGGAGGGTCACGACGCCGACGACGAGGACAACTTCATGCCGCCGACGTCATGGGTTGTCTCAGGCGACCGTGCTGCCGACCTGTGCCTCTTGCTTTCCCTGACATCTGGTCGTCTCATGTTTTCCACACAGGGCATTATCTCTATGTGGGCTCCAGGACCTTCGCGGATCGATCTGGCTCGAGCAAGGTCTGGGTCCCCTGGCGCGATATTCCACGGTGCAGTGTTTGTTGTGTAAGGTCGGATACTTGGGTCTCTCTTCTGTTTCCTTTTGTGGCTCGAAGCCATCTATACACTACCACCATGCATGGCCAGGGCCACCTTGGGCCTAGAATGGTTCATGGACTCTTGTTGCGCCTCAGCTGGGAAGGGCGTGTACACCATGCCAGGGCTTGGTTCTTGCTGCATGCGCCCCAGCAGTGCTAACAGCCCAGCCTGGACCTCGACGAGTCCAAGAGGAAGAGAGTGTACGTGCACATGCGTGCCATCACGCGTGCGTGCGCGTGCGTATGAAAGCGCGCGTGCGTGTGTGCGTGTGTGGAGGAGTGAATGTTGCGTGTGCTCGCGCTGTTCCTGCTATACCTTCCCGCGCTGCTCTCTGATCCTTTGACCTTCGTGTTCCCGTCCGTTGCTTTCCCATGATTGGCTACGTGATTGACGTCAGTCTTGGCAATCTACGGGCATCGTTCCAGCGGTCATTGGGAGAGTTTGGGCTCGGGCGACACCGATTGCTCCGCCCCGCAGTCGGTGTGATTGGCCACGTTGCTGCGTGATGGCCCGCGTATGTAAGTGTGTGCGTGTATGCTTTTGTGTGTGGCAGCCAAATCGAGGTACGTATGCGTGCCCCTATGCCCTTGCATCCGTTGTTTGGGATTCAGCCGCGCGTCGGAGGAACGACGTGTATGCCGCGGCGATACTTGATCTGGCTGTTATGCGGCGTCGTCGCTCACGAGGTTTCAACGTCTGAGTGTGTGTATTTGGGTGCTACCTGACCTTCTTGCTGTTTCCCTCTGGTACCTCCTAGTCGGCCCAGGGTTCCGCACGCTGCCCTGGTTCTCCTTCGGGTCGGCTGCCGTCGCTGCCCTCCTGCTGCGCGTCGCCTGATTTCTCGGCTTGCCACTGTGGCACTGGTTATCCATGTCCTCGTGTCTCCCTCTTCCCCCTGTTTCCCATCACCCCTTGCTCTCGCGACTGCCTCCCCGCGAGTGTCGCCGTGTATCCCCTATGGGTGGATCCAGCTTCTCCCTGCTGCGTGAGCTCGGCCGGCCCGCCCGCTCCCGCCTGACTTGACCCACGCCGCGCCGCTGCGAGCATTGCCGCGCGCGTGTGTGTCTGTGCGTGTGTGTGTTTGTGTGTGTGCGTGTTTCCGTGCGGTGCTCGTTGGTGGTGTTTTCTTCCTTGTCGTCCCCCCGCGACAGGCGGCGGGGGGGGCATCACGTCCGACTTCCTGCCCGACCTCGGCGGTGACTCGCAGTATGGGTTCATGCACATGACTCTGTCGAACGACAGCATCGAGGCGGGCGCGCGGCGCGCGGGCCTGAGCGCGACTTCTTGCGCGGCCTCGTGGCGGGGAGGTGTCAACGAACAGGGGAGGGAGGGAGACACCCGTGCCAGCGGAAAACCTACTCGTGTGAGTTGGCCCGAAGGCGCAAGGAGCAACCTCGGCGATAGAGTATGCATAGCCTAGTATGGGACTATGTAAGCGTATGCGTTGTTTACCTATTAGCCTGCTTGCGGTTTATGCACAACCGACGTATAGGCGCACGACAGGGTTATAGGTAGCCTAGTGGGCCCGCGGTAGGCTACAGGTCGGCTGTGGTGTTTCCCACAGGCCTGCGCACAGGTTGTGCACAGGTCTGTGGAAGGCCTTTGGTGGACCTACGGAGGAAGGGGGAGGGCACACCGCAATAGGCCTATTCACAGCCTGCGCATAAACCTACCATAAGTTTGTGCACCGGCCATGCACAGGCCTCAGGTCGCTCCTTGGAGGGCCTTCGGGGGGGTTGGCGCCCCGGGACAGGCTTATGCACAGCTCGCGCGAAAGCCGATCACAGGCCTGTACATGGGCTGCGCACAGGTGTGGGGTAGGCCCCTGGTGGGCCGATGGAGGGGACGAAGCTCCGCGATAGGCTTAGGCACAGCCTGGGCATGGAGCTACGGTAAGCCTTTCGCATATGCTACACGCAGACTTGTGGTAGCCCTCCGGACGGCCTGCGGAGAGGCCGGCGCCCCGCGACAGGCTTAGGCACAGCTTGCGCACAGGCCTACAACTATGCAGGGCCAGCGGTGGAGGAGGCCCACATCGATTGCAGCTCCACCGTCTCCTGCCTCCGACGGGGCCGAGCATACGCCACAGCGCCCAACAGGGCCACCGCCCACCTCTGGAGCAGGATCCACGCGGCCTTCGAGCCAGGCTCGTTTGCAGTGCGGAAGGTGCCAGCGCACTGCAACCGCCAGGCCGTGCTGGACGGGCACCTCACGGAAGCCCAGCGGCGCGGGAACGACCACACGGACCGCCTCGCCAAGATGGGCGCCAGGCTGCATGCTGTGGACAGCCAGGCCATCGGCGAACACCATGCGCTTGCCGAGGAGGTTCACGAGCTGTCACGGTGGATTGGCCAGGCCGCGGTCATCTGGCAGGGCATCAGCGAAAAGAACAGCGAGGGCCTCCCTGATGCTGGCGAGCGGCGGCAGGTGCGCTTCGAGGTGCCGCCACACTCGCAGGTCCCGCCCGCTGACCAGGAGGAGGAGGGCCCAGACCCCAAGAGGCCGCGCCTGGAGAGCGCCCGCTCAGCCGGCAGCGCCGCGGCCCTCTCTGCCAGCGCGGCGGCCTTCAGCATCCTCGGGCATGCCCTCAGCTACGCCTGCAGTGGCGACGGCGAGCAGACCCAGGAGCTGGTGGTTTGCACCAAGTGCGGCGCCCACATGGTGCTGGGTGGCCGCTCGGGGGCCAAGCCGCGGCTGAAGGAGCCGTGCCTGGCCGACAAGACGGACAAGAGCGGGCGCAACCAGCGCAGCCTGTGGGAGCGCGGGCTCCACTTTGGAGGAAGGCCGAGGTCGGCGAAGCAGCGCCAGAAGAACCTGGCCATACCCAGCCTTCGCGCGCAAGGGCCAGTGCTTGCGGACGCCCAGGAGCGCTACCTTGAGTGGCTCGGGGTGGTAATTCGCTGAGCAGCCAGCGGCAGGCGGCGGAGAGGCCAGTGCGGCCAGCTCCAGCGGAACCACAGGGGCGAGCGGGCGGGTGGCCGCGCGCCCGCGCGCCGAGGCCACTGCCGACGCTCTCACCCCGCCTGGCGGCGGCGACAGGGCGCCTGGAGCCAGCGGCGAGCCTGCGCCTGAAGCCCTTGCTTCGGCGGCAGGCGGCCGTGGAGCTGGGGTTCGCGAGGACCTCCTGGCGGCCTACGGCCTGAGCAAAGCCGAGTTGGCTGCCCGCGCGGAAGCCGCCGTCAGCGCGATCGAGCGCAGGCGGGTGCGCCGCCGCACGGACCGCCTCGGAGCCAGGTCCGAGGATAGCGACTGAATGAGTGTAGTGGATGTTCTTATCTTCGGTTGCAGTTCGCTTGCTCGTTCAGGTCAGTTTGATCGAGTGTAGTCTCTGTATTCCCCGAGGCAGTTCGCATGCTCGTTCTGGTCTACAGGCTGATCGAGTGTAGTGTCTGTTCGTGTCCTTTTGGCAGCTCACTTGCTCGTTCTGGTTGAGCGCTGTCGTTTCGTGATTCCCGAATGCCGTGCTCTGGGGGGGGGCTTGGCGTCTGGGGGGGCCCTAAGTCACGCCTGTCGGCTGGCCCGCCTCCGCCTGCCCTGCCCTGGCCCGTGGGGGCCGCCCGATGCGCAGACTGACATCGGCCTGTGCATCAGCTACACAGGCCTGTACATAGCCTGCCGATAGGCCTGTTGTAAGTTGGTGCGTAGATCGCCGGCAGGCCTCTTGCAGGCCTTTGCGTAGCCCACCGGTAATCTTATGATGAGTCTATCGATCGTTTTTTGTTTAAGGCCTGCCGGCTCACGTGCCGTATACTTTTTTATATAGACTACGAGGGCCCATCTCTGCAGAGGCTCTGCACGGCGGATTGTGATTTTCAGTATACGTACGAGACGGCGCACCCACAGCTGAAGCTGAAGCTGAAGCTGAAGTGCACAGAAGACATCATCAGGACCCACCCTGCAGGTTCGGTTGTCAGCACATCGTTGAGCGGTGCTGCAGCCCCCCCTGGGCAAAGGCTCCCCCCAAAGCTTCAGCGAAGGGCGGAAAGCACTGTTCTCTTCACGTCCTGCTCCAACAGGCATCACGAAGGCAGACATCGGAGGAGAGGAGGCAGACCCCCGATGGCGGAGGAGGGGGCGCTGGACGGGGCACTAGGTGTAAACGTAGGAGGTCGACAAACATCGAGAAGGAAGAAGATACGGAGGAAGAGGAACGGTTGCATTCGCAGGAGGGGGGACGGAAATCATAATGAGAGAGTAGGTGGGGCAGGTTTGGGAGCAAGACGCGATAGAAGAGATGCGGGATAATGCAGAGGGCAGCTGAGGAGGTGGACGTCGCGGAGGAAGGTTCAAAGTAAAAGGCGGATGATAATAAGCAGGCCGAGGGGAGAACAGGGAGCGGAAAGAGGCGGAGGTAGAGGATGAGGAGGCGGAGGAGGAGGAGCAGGAGGTGGTGGTTGGATGCGCGGGTTGGCATGGTAGGTTGGCTTCCACTTGTTCTGCGAGGAGTTCAGGCAAACCTCGTGCCTACCAAGGCATTGGTCGTAGTAAGGTTTCATTTTCTGTCTGTCACGGTTCGGCCGCGGCAGAAATGAGAGCAACACCGCAGGGCACTGGGCGCAATCAGACTTCGCTGCGCCAGCTAACGCACCAACGCGCGCGCGCAGAGCCGGAAAGCTTCACAAGTGTTCCCGAGCATGAGGCCTCCAGGGGTTCTTGCAGCGCATTGCCCTGCGATGTCACGGGGAAGGGATTCACCTTGCTTCTCTCGGGGGGGTTCGAGGGCACCTTCGGGCGCCATGGAACTGCAGATTCCGTGGCCTGGGGCCACCGACAAGGCACGATGGTTGTGAACATTATTTGTAAGATGGTGGTGCCCGCATCGCAGGTACGGTCCGGCGCCTTAGCCATCTCCACGCACGGCCGCGCGCTTGCCGTTGGATTGGCTCGGACCTTTGCACAGATGTTGCTGGTATGGTACGACGCGTGTGGCATGCGGTTGGCAAGCTGAACGACGTCGAATTCAGGGTTGCCGATGTCGACGGATGCGTTCTTGCGGAGGGGTGCGCTGATGTCTCGGTCTTGCCAGTGATCCACGCGGCGCGGGCGCGTCATGATTCATTCCAGAACTGTTGCCGCGGCATTGTCGTTGACGCGGACCTCCCGAAGCGGCGGCGTGACAGCGCGGTTCCGACAGGCTCTGCGACCTCACAGTAGGACACAAGTTTTCTGACCCTATACGACGACAAAACATGATGAGTTTACAATGTGATGTAGCATGATGCCGTTGAAGTGTGGGAACATATTGACCCTTGTTACGGCCTACATTCTGAATTCCCTTTTTCTTTCAAATTCGCGTATGTTTATAATGTTGGGGCGCAGGGGGCGGTGCGCGCAAAAGCGCCTCGTTAGGAAGGTTTTGGAGAGGCCATTTTGGCGTGGCGTCCCCGATGTCATCCTTGTTCTTGGCGTCGCCCGCCGTTTTTTTCCATTCTGGACCGTAGGAGCATATGGTTGAGAGACGCGTTCGTCCACGGGTGAGGAACCGACTCGTTCAATTGAGCATCATGATACAGCCAGGTGATTTCTTCGTTGATATCAGATCTCGCCGCACACGCGCACCTTCGAAGAAAAGAATTTATGACCGACACCGTAAGCACATCCCAACAGCATCCGACACCAACGACTCACTTCATTGGCAAGTGGCAACGTTAATGCATTTCAGCAGCCGGCGTCGAGCCACCCTGCCAATGATTGGCAGCTTTCTCCGTCGCAACACAGCGCCACCATCTACTGATAACACATATTTCTCGCAGTCATCGTTTCCGTCTTGCTTCCGCCGTGATCGAGTAGTTTGGTTGATTCGGTTTGGACGAACACGTGTATAGGGAACGCGAAAGAACACCATTGCGGATTGTCTGCGTCAAATAGAACATATGGTAAGTTTTTACGAGTGAGAGGATGACACATGGATGCGCAGGCGCGACAAACCATTGGCAGATGCTTGTTCGTGCCGCCAGGCGTGCGTGCCCTCTGCGTTTGGTCGATTACGGGGTTGTCCAGGTGGACCGTGAAACGCATCAAGCCAGTCTCGATTGCAGTTGTGTTGCCCCGGTCAGGGTGCCCTGCGTTGGTGACGTATCCGAGCAGACAGCGAACAGTTATCGCAGGTTTTGTCGAGAAGCGTCGTGCAGGATCCGAGCGCGATGCGTTTCATGGTCGTTCCAGCTGGTCGGCGGTCTGCAAGCTGAGTCAGCCCAAGGTGTTCTTCGTCGCAGCAGGACCACTTCCCGCACCTAGGTTTGTACATTTATTTGATTAAACGCCTCGGAGGGGGCAGACACTGCCGACCCACTTTTTGGTAGAGCCCAGAGTTTCCTGTTTGGGGGGTCCAGCGCGGCCCAGAGGGTCCAAGAAGACGCGGAGAAGAGCACAAGAAGATCCCCAGAGGGACCCAAGAGGGCCCGAACACGGGCGAAAAGGGCACCCAAAGGTGTCGAAAACGGGGGCGGAATCCGAAGAGGGATACAGAGAGGCAGAAATGAGCATCGCCAGCTAGTTTTGGGGCTTCAGAAGGGTTTCCATCACGACAGTACCAGCACTGATGCCAGCACAGAAGCCAGCTAGCTCCAACTCTGGCGTTCCCACCAGCGCCGACGCGTGCACCGACGCCAGCACTAAAGCCACGGCCTACGCCAGCGCCGACGCTAGCACTGACGCCAACACCAAGCGCTGGCGCCTACGCCAGCACCAACGACAGCGCCTGAACCAGCACCAACGCCAGCACATAAGCCAGCTCCAACGCCGGCGTTCCCACCAGCACCGACGCGTGCACCGACGCCAGCACCAACGCCAGCGCTTACGCCAGCGCCGACGCTAGCACCGACGCCAGTATCAACGCTGGCGCTTACACCAGCACTATTGCCAGCACACGCCTGCGCCTACAAAAGTGCTGCCGCCAGTTCCGACGCCAGCACCAACGCCGGCACCAGCACCTGCGCCTAGGCCAGCACCGATGCCAGCATTAACGCTTGCGCCTACCCCGGCGCCTTTGCGAGCACCGACGCCAGGACTGGCAGCTTCCCCGATGGCCTCGCCCGCATGGGCGTTGATGGCTGCACTAACGACAGTGGCGCGGCGGTGCCGACAGAAGCACGTAGCTCCCACGGCAGCGCTGGCCACAGCACTGACAGCGTCCCTGGCGGCCTCGCCCATACGAACGTCGACGGCAGCACCTTCGGCAGTGCTCAATGCACCTTGACAGCCTGCCTCAAGCGACACTTGTGTCGGCGGTGGACCTGATCGGCCTCAACATCCGCTACGACCTTGACTTCCACGAGGAAGACGACGACAATGACGACGGCCACGACGTCGAGTCCAGTGCTGCCCAAGACGCCCAAGCGGACTACGATGGCTGCAACAGCATCCCCCACGACACCTACGTGGACCAAAACATCCGTCACGACACGACGACACCGAAATGCACGACGGGGACCACCACAACGACGCTTTGGGGAATGCCGATTTTCGCGCAGATGTTTGCGGGGCAGCTCATCACGCTCAACGTTGACAGTGAGCAGCACCACAGTGACATCCAGCACGACAACTGCGACGCCCACGAAAACCTCGATACCCACGACCAAGACGCCCACGGCTCCCTCGACACGCCAGCCACGACAGCTACGATGTCGATGATGAGCAAGGCGATCACGACGCCCACGACCATCAAGATGACAAGGATCAGAATGCCCACGACGAGCACCATCCAACACGAGCGCATCATCGTCATCATCGTCTCGAGGGCCACCGCCAGGCGAGGATGGGCTGGTATCCCCCAGAGTGCCGCCCGCATGGACCACGACTGGGAGTGCCACCTTGAGAAGCAGCGGTGTGAGCACCACGTGCAGCAGCGCCAGGACATGACTACTACTTCGTCGACGGCTACTGCCATCCCCACAGGTGCATCGGCACTGTGACAACGCGTGGGATCAGCAGCACCAGCAGCCCACCCCAGCAGCCCGCGATGCTGCTGCCGCGGCCGCTTACGCAGCATCAGGACAGGGCCCTGAATACCGCCCCCCTGAAGGGTGTCCAGGGGAGACCTGCTTTGGGCGGTGGGGGGTCGTTTCGCCTCGACCTGATTATCCCTTCTTTTTGCTCGCCGACAGGTTCCTGCTAGGACTTGGCCGCAGGTGCGGTGGCTGTGTAATCTGGGGGTCGATTACGTGGCGCGGTGCAGCACGGCGGGCGGCAGCTCGGCGGGTGTCTCGTCCGGCGAGCTTTGGCGCTCTTCTGGGCTGAGGCGCGGCGGGCGGCGTCGATCTGAGTGTTCAGGTGTTCCTCCTCCCCCTTCCCCTTCCTCCTTCTCCAAATTGGTGGCCCCAGCGCCAGTGTTTGCACGGGCCTTGCGCGGTGTTCTCTGCAGCCGCGGCTGGCCGACCCTGGGCCGCTTTAGCCGTCCAGGTTCGCGCCTGTCTGCCGATGTGGAGCAGCGTCGCGTGTGCCGGGCGCCTCAGTGCCCGCCTTCAGTGTCAGTAGGTTTTATTGGGGAGTGCGTGCATCCAATTTGTGTTGTAGCTTTCTGGTCTGTTTTCTCTCCCCCTTCGTTTTCGCTTTCTCGCCCGCCCTCCGTTGTCTCCTCCTCTTTCTGTGTTCCCTCTTCTCCTATCAATTTTGGACGTACCGGCCTATCCTCGCGTGGAGGCCTTGTGTTGTTCGTTTTTCCATTGGCGTCGACGCTGCAGGTGAATCCGCAGCATCCGCACTGCTCTCTGACCTGGGCGGTTCACGCCTTGCTGCGCGTCCCTGTCGCACGGCCTTTGGCACAGGCTAAAGAGCCGCAGGGGTGATGTCTCTCCTGATGACCTTGGTGACCGAGGCTTTGTGGTATAAAAATCGAGCAATACCACAAAGAAGTCCAGACGCCCCGAGGGGCTGTCAGGGTGGCCGCAGAGAGCATACGCAGGTTCCAAGATGGCCGCAAGAGCCCGTGGAGATACACGGGAGCTCCAAGAGAGGCGCCAAGAACAGCCGATAAACACAATCGTCAGAACCCGATGTGTTTTACAATGTTGTTTGCTTGTTGGGAGGTTTTTGGTGTACGATACTCGAAGAGAGGAGCAGAGTCATCCAGAACGGACATTGGTGGTCCGAAGGGCGGTCAAGATCAGCCCAGAAAGGGCCCCGAGAGGCCCCCCAAACCGGCCCAGTAGGCTCCCAGAGATGTGTCTGAGAGGGCTGGTGGTGCTCGGAAACCGAGCGCGTGACAGGGGGTTCCCGCACCTAGCTCTGCAGATTTGTTTAATCGCTTCGCTCACTCCGCCGGCCCATTTCGCATCACCGTGGCTGCGTGGTGGCGTGCTCGTGCTCAGGGGGAACGGTAGGGCAGGCAGGACGGTCTTCGAGGAGATTTTTGGAGATGCGACTGCCCCAGAGGGCGCCAAGGTGACTCAAGAGAGCTCCAGCAGAATTTTACGTAGATGGATTGTGGGTCGAAGTCCTCATGGATGCTTCTTGGGGTCTTTTCGGAGGGAGCCTCTGGGGAGCAGTTTTGAGGCCTCGGGGGGGACTCTTGGGTGCCACTTGGGGCTTCCTGGGGGGCTGTTGGAAGCCTTGGGGGCCTCTTTTGGGGCCTCTCGGGGGCCTCTTGTGGCCTCTTGGAGGGCTCTTGGGGGCCTCTGGGGGCTTCCTGGGCGCTCCTTGGGGCCGAGAGCTCGAAATGTCTGTTCGGGTTCTCCCTCTGGGCCACCTCTTCGGGCCATCCTGGGGCCGCCTTGGAGGCCTCTTGGACAGTCTGGGGGCCAATCTTGGGACGATCTCGGGCGGCTGTCAGCTCGAAAAGGCGGTAGCGCCAACATCGCCAGAATCACATTTATCGAAATCAATTGTTTTTTGCGAGGGGAATTCTAGACGCTTCGCGTATCCCCACCAGCCCGTCCAGAAACGACGCCCAGGCGAGTAGAGGGTCGTCCTGAGTGGCTTTTCGGCGTCTTGGGTGCCTCGGGGGGGCCTCTGTGGGCCGTTCGGGATCCTCTTTGGGGCCTCCTGGGGGCCTCTTGGGGCCTCTTGGGGCCATCTTGGGGCCTTTGGGGGCCTCCTGGGCGCTTCTTGGGGCCATCTTTGCCCCCTCAGGAGGCCAAAATGAGGCCAACATCTTAGTAAAATCAATGATTTTGGCTTCCTCGCCGAGGCCGTTTTGGACGCTCTGACCGCTCGCGCCCCCCCCCGTCCAGGTCAGTGGGGAGGGGGTAGGGGGAGGGGTAAACCCCTCCCCGACGGGAAAGAGGGAGGGGTGGAAGAGGAAACGCCTTAAACCACCGACGCCCAGAGGGCTGGTGGGATTGCCTCGATCAGGGAAGTGGACAGCACACAGAGGAAGCCAGTATGAGACATCTTGGGATTTCTTGAGCCATCTTGGAGGTCATTTTGGGCTCTCCGAGGCGCTCTTGGAGTCATCTTAATCAGTGCCCCCCCCCAAGAGGCCAACATGTGGCTAAAACCTTAGTGTAAACAATGGCTTGACATTATCGCCGAGGCCTCTGGGAGCACCTTGGGTGCCTCTGGGGGGTCTCTTGGGGCCTCTTGGGGGTCTTGGGGGCCTCCTGGGGGCCTCTTGGGGGGCCTCTTGGGGCCATCTTGGGGCCATCCTGCGGCCTCTTGGGGCATCCTGGAGGCCTCTTGCGGCCATCGTGGAGGAAATCGATCAAAGAAGAGGGGAGCTTTAATTAGCGTTGCCCCCTCAGAAGGCCAAAATGGGGCCCAAACAATAGTTAAATCAATGATTTTGGCTTCCTCGCCGAGGCCGTTTTGGACGCTCTGACCGCTCCCCGCCCCTCCTATCCAGGTCAGTGGGGAGGGTGTAGGGGGAGGGGTAACCCCTCCCCGAAGGGGAAGAGGGAGGGGTGGAAGAGGAAACGCCCTAAACCACCGACGCCCAGAGGGCTGGTGGGATTCTGAGGTCCGCGCGGATTTCTCCGATCGGCGCTGGACTCCCTTGGCGGCGCCTCCGGCGCCGCCCCTGGCGCGGGTCCAGCGCCGATCCGAGAAATCCGCGCAGACCTCTGAGTGCTTATGTTCATGTCATTGTCCGTTTCCCTATTTGCGTCTTCGGGGCCTCTCGAAGTCCTCCTGAAACCCTCCTGGAGCGTCTTGGGTGCTTCTTGGGGCGTCCTGGGGCCAACGTGGGCCGTCTTGGAACGCTCTTGGCCGGAGGCCGTGGGGCGCGCCAGCCTTCTGGCGCCTCATTGGGGCGCTCGGGGGGCCCCGAGGCCGTGCCCAGGAGTTCTGGCATCTCTTGGCCGACCTTGCCGTGACCCTGCTTGGGACCTGCCGGGACCTGCGAAGACTTTGCTGGGACCACTGCCGGGGTATATTCCGTCTGGGGACCCCCAGGGGCCGCCACGCGCGCGTGAGAATTTAGCACACCTCTGGCCCGTTGGGCCGGCGAATTATGGCGTTTCCTGGCAGATCTCGGCGCGAACATCCTGAACACTGGGTGTGCGTGCGGGTCGGGTGCAACAGGGCGCGGAAGTTGCTGCTGCCGGAGCAGGGAGCCTGCTGTGGAACAGAGTTGAGCCGCCGTGCGGGCAGCGAGCGTCGTCGTTCACGTCGTGAACAGAGTCGCCTGGCGATGTCTTCAATGCCTGACGAGTTTGCGCTCGAGGGGTCGTCTCTGGGCGTCCTGGCGTCCTCGTTGCAGTCTCGTTGGGCACGTGCCTGCCGCTGGGCCGCCGCCTGAGTAGGCACGGTTCGCGACCGCGTAGCCTGCTGTGCACCTTGGGCGATGCTTAAGAAAACGTAAGTTTTCGGCCAGAGTCTCGATTATTCTTAACGTTTCAATGTAAATCTTAAGATTTTGATGGAAATTCTGGGTTTTATTTAGTTTCTGAGATCATGAATTTCTTAACCCATGATTTCTTAAGCATTTCGCAGGGTGTAGTTTCTTCCGCGACTAAACGTTTTGTCCCGCGTGTCGCCGCGAATGAAAGGAGTTAGAGCGGGCTGAAATGGATGTGCGCAACGAGTATCGGTTTCAAACCCCACTGGATGTGCTGACGAGCAGAAGGCGCAGCGCGGTCGATGGATGCGGGGGGGGCCTTCGACTCGTCGTCCACGTCTGCGGATTATGAGCTAGGGCCGCACAGGGCGGAATAGTTCCTCTCATTCTTCTTCCACGTAATCTGTGCCAGTTGCATTTTGTTGAAATCCCAGCGGCCTGTCGTGTCGTCCCTCTGGGCATCGCCCGGGACAATGGCGCATTGTGTTACGTACTTGCGCATTCGTACGCGTCGGTTTTACCAGAGCGGTTCGAGATATATTGTATGAGTCGATCGTGGGCACAGCATGACTTCCTCGTGATGCTTGGTATCGGGGCAGGTGTTCGTCATGCTTGTTGCCTTCTGAGAGCAGACACCCGTAAGCCACTTGGGTCATTGTCGACGCCGTTCTTAAATGGCGAGGAAGAGGGGAAGGAAGGCTATCAGGAGGATGAGGTGGGGCACACACATCAGAAGAGTAATGAGGGAACGGAGGATAAGAAGCATCAGCAGGATGACAGGGTGCGGTGCAGCAGCAGAGTATGAGTTTGATGCGTCGGAGTTCCGGGATGATGAGGCGGAAAATTTATGGGAGGATTTGCTTAGTCATTCCAGCGAGGGAGAAAGACAACACCTTGGCAGGAACGCAGTCTTTAAGCCCAGCGTCCGGATCCGAAAACTTTCCGGCTATCAAGGGTGCCCAACATATATGGTAGAGTTGATGATCCATCGTTGCCGAGTTGGGGGCCATGGTGTTCACCATGAGGAGGAGGAGGAGGAGGAGGTGGAGGAGGAGGAGGTGGATGATGATGAGGAGGAGGAGGACGAGGAGGAGGAGGAGTATGGGGGCCGCTGAGGAAGAGGGCCGAGGAGTAGAGGTATGAGGATCACCCAAAGCCACAGGGTGAGGATGAAGCGGAATGGTGAGGAGGATGAGGAGGATTGAGGATGGACATGAGGATGAGAAATCGATGGGCCGAGGGCTTGTCTATTTCGTGGGAGGAGCTCCCGTTTCAGCACTGTGCATTCTTGCTGAAACCAGCGGCTCGAAGATCGTCAACGTGCAGCACAACGGTGAGGAGGGCTTCAGAGTGGCGGTGTCTCAGCGGCCCTGCGTCCTTTGCTCCGAAGATGACGTGGCCAGAAACTTGCAGATCTACGAGGATGGGTTGCGTCGCAGGTCGCCCCTGATGTGAAGTCTGGGAGGAGGAGGTGGGGGGCTCCTCGAAACTGTAGGCTCACAGGCATTTCAGGGAGACGGCGGAGGAGAAGGAGGAGGAGGCCGTCAACCACAGGCTGCAGGCCGCTGCCGCTGGCCCGAAATTTCAGGCGGAGGAAGATGATGCTGATGATGATGCTGCTGAAGATGATGATGATGATGATGATGATGATGATGATGATGATGATGGTGATGGTGATGGTGATGGTGATGGTGATGGTGATGGTGATGATGATGATGATGATGATGATGATGATGATGATGATCATGATGATGATGATGATGATGATGATGATGATGATGATGATGATGATGATGATGATGATGATGGTAGTGATGATGCTGCTGCTGCTGATGATGATGCTGATGATGGTGATGGTGATGGTGATGGTGATGATGAGGAGGAGGAGGCGGAGGAGGATGAGGGGGAGGAGGATGGGCAGACATATGAGGATGACGTAGTCCAGGAGGTGACTAGGAGGATGAGTAGGTAAAGGAGTAGGAGGAGTTATGTAATCCGGAGTAGCCGATTTGGCGCCTAAACCCAGGGAGGTTTTCCCAAAGTTTGGTTCTGTAGACGTCAGGGTGCCTAACCCCGTGATGATCGTTGCGTAGTGGTCATGCCGAGTCTCGAGTATGTGCATCAGCAGCTAATGACCACGAGTTATCGCTCAACAGTTGACAATGTTGCGGCAAGATGTTGTTGCCCTGTCACGGACTTGGGGGATGCCCCAGTCCACCGCAATTCGGGTTGGGTTGTATGTGCTGTCCGATGTCTCCCGAGGTCAAAGAGGTCAAGGAGTCGGGGGAGGAGGAATGTCTCGGGGTCGGCGCTCGTTCATACGAGGCGAGCGGAGGACGAGAGGAGGACCGTCTCTCGTCTCTCTTGCGATTACGTTTCCGCTGCAACGCCGCAGTGGCTAAGTTCCCCCTCGCCACCCAAGAGCGATACCTTTGCGTCGCTGCGATCAGGCATGGGCAGGGAAGCAGCGCTCGGGAGGGACAGTATGAAGGTTACACCTCGGGCACGCAACCCCTGAGCCGAATTCGGCACGCGACAAATGGGCTCCTCTTGGTTTTAGGCGGGTACGAGGGAGGGAGGCAGGAGCGGAGGGGCCCTGCCGCGTGCTCGGGGGCCCCGTGTTGGATAAGTCGCTGCGGGATGTGGCCCGCTTGGGAGGCTCTGCTCCGTCCTCGTACACTTCTCAGCTGCACGGGCCTGTCCAGCTGGTGTCCTCCACAGCTTTCCCCTCGCCTTGGATCCCTGGCACGCCTGCTCCTCTCTCGCGCACCAGCCTGCCGCCGTGCACCGTCGGGAAGAAGGGTGCACCGTGTTCTACGTTATCGCTGTGCATAACTGGCACTCGGAGGAAGTACTACATATTTTGATATCGGCTCGGTCTTTGTCCTTCGCTCCTTGCCGCCTGCTCTTCTCTAGTGCCCAATCCTCTTCCAGAGTGTCCCTGCCCTTGCTCGACCGGCGTCTGACCTTTTCTTGCGCCCGCGGACCAAACAAGTGTTCGGAGGGCTGGTGTTGGAAGGACACCCGCCCGCGCACGTCTCTCCCTCCCCAAGGGGTTATGCCGGAGCCGAACGCTTCTCGTCATCGACAAGGACTACCGTCACGACCACGGCCACTACCGGCACGCTGGTATGCGGGTGTTGGAAAACGAAGAAGATGTTAGCCATCGTGCGTCCCAAGACGTCATTTCTTGCAATCAATACAGCGCAATACAGGTGGTGCAATCACTGTGGTGCAATCCAAGTGGTGCAGACCATGTGGTGCAACCCATTTGGCGCAAAGCAGGTCAAAGCAACTCGAAGCAACTCAAAGCAATGCAGAACAATGTAGAGCAATTCAGAGCACTGCAACGCAATGCAATCAACGCAAAGTAATGCGAAGCAATTCGAAGCAACGCACAGCAATGCGAATCAAGGCGTTGCAATGCAAGCCAATGCGTTGCAATGCGATTCGATGCAAACATTCAACGCGCTGGAAAGCAACACAAGGCAAAACAGTGCACAACAACATGGCGACCGGTTGCGACGAGCCGGCTGGACTGTCGCTGGGGCCCAGCGGCGACGGCGGCGACGGGCGGCGACCGGCGGCCCCAGGTAAGCCGGCTGGACAGCCACCAGGGCCCAGCGGCGACGGCGGCGACGGGCGGCCACAAGCTGGCCGGACCGCCACCGGCGCTCAGTTATCCTTCGCGCTCAGCGTATCCCCATCAGAGAATGCAGAAACGCTGCACATGAGAGCCGACGGGAAACCATACAGTCAACCCACATGAGAGCAGACGGGAAACCATACAGTCCATCACTGGCCACTTGCGTTGTCCGCGCCCCGCTCAAAAAGTTTCGAAGCGGCCTTCCGAGGCCCTTGCATCCGTATCGTGGATCCTTCTAGTTCGGGTCGACTGTAGTAAGAGACGTATGTAGCGTAACGGAGCGGAGGACAAGGACGACGAGGACAAGGATGAGGAGAAGGACGACGACGAGGACGAGGAGGAGGAGGAGGACGAGGACAGAACAAATGACGCGTCGGAGGGGGAAGACCGGAACGAGGAGGATGAGGAGGAGGAGAAGGAGAAGGACGAGGACTCTTGCAGCCATCCTGCGGTCGTCTTGAGGCCCTCTTCGGGTCCTCTTGCAGCTCTCTCGAGGCCTTTTTGGGGCCCTCTTTGGGCTCTTTTGGAGATTCTCGGGGCCTTCTTGGAGCCCTCTCGAGGGCGATTTGGGAGCCCTTGAGAGGCCATGTTGGAGGCCATCGATTAAGAAGGGGGGGATCTATGTCTAGGCCTAGGCCCTCCCTCACGAGTCCTGAAACCGTCTCGTGGGACTCTTGAGCCGTTCTTGGGCGCTCTTGGGGCCGTCTGGGGGGCCTTGTGGTGACCTATTAGCCTATTGGGGCTCTCTTGGGCCATCTCGGGGCCATCTTGAGGCCTCAAGAGCGCATCCGAAGCAAGGCACACAGCATTTCTCTTCTGTGGGTGTTGGACGATTTGGGATTTTTTGGGGGATACCACTGGAGAAGGAGAACAGCCACTACGAATGCACATGCGTTTACGAAGTTTTGGTGTCATCGAGACATGTGTTAATGCTACATGGGGAAACGCTACACCCGAACATCAGATACCCGAGCATACCATGACACATTTAGAATGCGACACATCTTAGCACCTCATTGCTGAGCCCTTTATTATACCATACAGTTAAACGTCGCACAATACAGCAGGACAGAGTGCACACTCACATAGTATCAGAGAACATAGCGCAACCTAACATAATGTATAGTTGGTTCACAGAGTCCACAGGCAAACATTGCTAAATTTTCATTGGAAGAAAACATCCTAAACCTATTAACTGCGTCCTCGGCCGGGCTGGCAACAGGAATAAAGGGGCACACGAACGACCGATTTGACGACGCATCTAATGGGACGGGCGTCGCGACGGCACGCTGGCCCGTCGAGAACAGATACTAAAGTACACTAGAACAGAACATAGTTGGATAGAACCAAATCAAAGATTGTAGAACACAGCAGCGACCGTAACGGCCCCCAACAAACGTTCCATGCGAGCCGACGTAAGGCTCGCCTCATGAACGACCAGACGTAGCAACGACCGATTCGCCGACATATCAAACCTGGCAGGCGTCACGAAGTCACGCCGCCCCGTCGGTAGCAGAACCGAAAGACAAGTCTATGTCAATATAGCAGAGCAGGAAGAGACAGGACGTGATAGAGTGGGGTGCAGCAGCGATTGGGTAACGGCTTAAGATCAGACGCGACATGCGCGTCAATATTTGATTGGCCACTGTGACGGACACTACCAAATTCGGGAACAACCCCCGAAGGTTTCAGTGGGGCCCGCTCGAATCAAAATATCAATTGAGGTAAGCGGGTTCGCGCACATAGATTTTCTGATTGGGATTAGGGTTGTGCGATCATCGTGTGGTTGAGATGGCATCTGTTCGTATCGCGGAAAATTGCCGATGCAGCTGGGACCTATCCAATTTGCCGTGAGGCAGAGCGGGGTGGTAAGTCCGGTATGTGTCTTCCCACCCGCAGGTTGTTTTGCAAAGCCCATGCGGCCTGGATTGCGATGACTGCTTGGCCCTCGCTGGCGTATTTGTGCGGCCGCGCTGGTGCGCGCAAGTTCGCGCGCAGAGCGAGCAGCTGGTTTTTCTCAGCCGGTGCGGCCGCGATGGCGCTTACAGTTGAAAGTGTCCCAGCGTGTCTCAAAGGCAGTTGGCTCGCGGACAGTTCAATGCGGGTCGGTGGTTCGGGCGGTCGCGGTATCATTATGACGTTGTTAATGGCGGCAACGATGATGATAGTAACGATGTTTTGGGCGATGGTGACGATGACGACGGCGAGGCCGCTGACGATACCGATGCTGGTGACGACGATGCCGACGATGATGTAAATGTGTCGGTGATGATGTCGCTCGGGTGGCGATGGCGGTAAAGCGGGCGATTGTTGATGACGGACATGATGCGGCGGCGCTGGTGCCGGCTATGGCGAGGAATTACGCGCGGCGGTCATACTTTTCTGGGGCGCCCTCTTCTGACAGTTTCGGGGAAAAATGAGTTGGAAGGATTTCGGCACAGTCGCGGGGGTAGCCCGCATGGTACTCGTTGCTTCGAAGTAGTGATTCCAGGTGCACGTTGCAACAACGCGGACGCACCGCATGGTGAGATGAGAATGCGGGAATCGGCCAGGATCAACAATGTCATATCGTTTCTGTATGGTTTCAGCGTGCGCTCGTGGTCAGACACGTGTTAGAATATGGGATTAAACGCCGAAGGGTTATTTTGTATTGAAGCCTTGGCAGCGTGTGCGTGTTCGACATGACTTCGACGTGTTCGCGCGTGTGGAGTGTGCGCAGTTTGTTCGTTGCATTTCGCTTTGGGGAACTCATCGTTTGAGATAAACGGGGGCGCACGCATAATATTATCTCGCAGGGTCGAAGGGGGTGGGGGCGATAACCTACGGGTTTGGATGTTACGGATTTGCACGGAGCTAAAATTGTGCAATGAACCTACGTCGTTTGTTGTGTCCAGGGGGGGCGATCATATCTTGTGTGGGGGGAGAGGGTGGCGGAGATAATGTGTTTTTTTCTTCCGGGAGAGAACTTAGGCCGCGTTTGCAGCGGACCCAACGTTGGCGCCCTCGGGCTGGGCACGGTTGAAAGAATCATGCCCGCGATATCCCCACCACCAAACTAGGAAAGCATTGGAAGCAGGAAGCAGGAGTAGATGGTCAATGAAATGATTGTCCAGGAAGGGAGGCATGGGTCCGCCCTTTCGTTCCCGAACTTGTCCGGATGTTGGGCCGTCGTTCTTGAATCTGCACTTCCGTGCGCCCTCTTCTCTCAGAGTTTCCCGCCTTACCCTCTCCATTTCCTGATTAATCTTCCATTCCTCTCCAGGACGTGGACATTTGGATCGCATAAGGAATGAGTGAATCCCGAAAGCCCTACGCAACGCGTGCCCAGCAAGGCGGCAGCACAGGTCTTCTCTTGAATCTGGTCATCTTCGCTACCTGCAGCGCCACCGGCTCCTATCCTAGCCTATCTTATTCTATCTTGTTCTATCCTGTTCTTCTCCCGCGTTTCATTTCGCGTGCTCGACCTCTTGTTCTCTCGGGCATGTGGTATTCTTCGCGGAGCCCGCCTCTCGACTTCGTTTTCGCACGACTCACGCGCGTGCTTCCATGAGCCCGAAAGGGGGTTGGGGCTGGAGAGCTGCGGGGTTGGAGGCGGCGATTGCCCGGCGGGCAAAAATCACTCAGGCCCCAATCATCCACCTTTGAGGATGAAGGGGGAGGGAGGGACGGAGGGGGGAACGATGGATTCCTGTGGCCCTGCCTCTGCCCGATCACCGCCCCTCTTCCCCTTCTTCCCGCCGCCGTCTTGCCTCTATGCATCCTCGTTTCTCATTCCTCTTGAACTGGTTTGATCTGCCAGCGCAACGGGATGCGAGCAGGAGCTCGCGTGGACGGGATAGTAGACGAAGGAAGGTCATGGCGCGGGCGGACAAAAACTTAGCATCGTTGACGCATTCTGGCTTACTCTGGACCTTCGCCTCCTCGTCCTCTCCTACCTCCCCATCCTGTCCAACTGACCGACTGGCCGTCGACCGCCCCGTTGATGGTGCGGCAGCGCGGAAGAGGACGAGGATATGTTGAGATGGGTGGATGACGCTGATGACGCGAGAAGAGGGTGACGCCAACCAAAGTTGTTAGCGAACCCAGGGAGTCGAGGACGAGATGGCGAGCAAGGTCATGGCAGACCATGTTGTCCAGTGGATCCGCGATGAAGCTGCCGAGGTGCAGAAGTCTGGCAGGGAGGTATCCAACCGCACCGCGCAGGACCTATTGATGAGAGATCACCAGGAGGACAAGGAGGCAGATATTATGTGGATTCTGACGGTAAGGTTAAGCCCAGAATTTGTATTGATAATGTGGTGTTCGGAAACCCTTTACAATCGTCCGTCCAGTTTTTTTATGCCTACCTGTGGAGGAAGGCCGATACATGTTTGTGTTGGTCACGTGCCTAAAATCAACAGCAGAAGGAGCGACAGCGTCAACAATACCGCGACCCAGATGCGTGGTTGCAGCAATGAAGTTTGTGGAGGCGTGGTGTTCGTTTGTGCTTGTGTGTTGTGGGGGGAAGAGGGGAGTCGTTCGTCCGAGAAGTTTTAAGATTGCCATTTCTGCCAGAACCATTTCTCAGGCAATCAAGTAGGGGTAACGGCGTAAGTCCCGCATTGATTGGGGGGGGGTGATGGGGGGGATACGAGGAATATCGATGAGGTGGATCCAGTTCTTCATCCTCGTTGCCCCCCTCCCCTTCTTCCTCCCCCCTCTTCTGCTCGTCCCACGCTCCTTCCCGCATTCTTGTGATTTATGTGTGGCCCTACATCATGTTGTCATTCGAGCAGTAGGTTCGCATTGCCCCCAAGGAATGTCGCATTGCGTGCGGGCTGTGGGAAAGGACTTGTCCGCCGCCCGTTGTGGTTCAATGTTTGTTTTTTTGGTTTTGTCTGTTTTTTTTCCCGCGCCCGCTATCGTAGCCGGTTCCAGACACCTCCCGCTATACACTCCCTGAAAAAAATCCTTTTCACATCGTTCGAAGTTTTCATTCGGTAGCAATCTTCGACTCCGTCCATTCGCGGCCACGACCCGCATGGCTACTTTTCGCCTGGTCGCTCTACGTCAACATGGTCTGCGAGTTGCCGCCCCGCACCAACATGACACGCTCTGCGCTTTTCTGCTATACGCACGCTTTCGTGCAGTTCGGAGGCGACGTGTCCTTACGGACCGTCGCGGCGCCGCCCGCCCAGCCGCCAGTAACGATGGAGACGGGTGTGCACGAACACATCCAAGGACTTTTCGGGCCGGGCGAAAGGGGGGGATTGGGAAAGGGGGGGTTACGACATTTGCTGCATGCAGCTGGTTTCGGCCTCACCGAGGGGCCCATTTCTCGATACATGGCCGCCTCCCGGCGCCGGGAGGCGCCGGGAAAATGAGCTACGTCAGCTGATTCTCAAACCCCCCCTTTGCTATCCCCCCCTTTCGCCCGACCCGAACTTTCACATCAAGGACCGCGGTCCCGCGCCGCTTTCTTCAGAGTCATTTCCCCGGGTTCGCCCAAACTGCGTCTGAGAAGCTCGTGGACCTGACGTCATCATTCAGGAGGAAAAGAAACACACAGACACAATTAATCCTCGATTCCCCAGAAAATGTAGGACAATATGGGAAGTGGGGGGGAAGACAAAAACCCCGAAAATATGAGAAAATATTGGGAACTATTTTATTTGTGTGTATTTACTTGTGTGTCCCAGGGCCCCTTCAATCATTGCATTCGCCTGTGCGTGCAGCCTCAGATGCGAGACCGTTTCTTGACGAAGCGTTCGCGTTTCTGGTTTTGGCGAAGGGCCCCGAACTCCCAGTGAATATGTTGCAGGAGCCTTGGGAGGAACTGGCGACGGACACGACTCTTCCATTGCATCCGCCTGCGGGTGTGGCCGAGGGTTTCATACACGGTGGTCGCTAAGCGCCCCGAGTTCCTTGCGATTGCGCTACCAGTTGCCAGTGCCGAGGGGGCGCGGCCAGAGAAGTTCGGCGACTACGTTGCCGGCGCCCCGCGAGATCGGGAAACGAACTTGGGATTGTTCGTCTTCGAGCTCATGGGAGTCCCGTTTTCCCACGCAGCCCCTGCTACCCGGCAGACCTGGATACCGATGCAGACCCCTCCTGTCTCACTATCGCACAGCGCGCGGTGCACAGTATTGTGTCGACGCGACGTACGACGAGCAATCATTTCATGAGTATGTTGTTGGCAGTCATGAGTGCCGATCGCACTTCAATCATGCGTCACAGGAACACGCCCGCTACGCTGATGAGGACCAGCATGCCCGGGACAGATACCCGCGGCGGCTCCGAGGCGGGTTGCCCGAGCATCGCCGTTGGCTGGCTCCAGGACTCCAACTTTTCTGCGATGCGTGGAAGGGGCCCCAGTCTGGATGGAAGGTCATCGAGGCGTGCATAGTCGCTGCCACCAGCTGCATCGCTTGCGTGGGCGTTGGCGGCGGCGGCGGCGGTAATGCGCGAGTTCTCGGCGCCTGGAGGCCCGCGCGGCAAATTCGTGTGCCTTGCCAACGCTGGGCGCGATTTCCGCCAAGCGGGTTGCGTCTCGTTTCGCCTAGCTAGCATGGCTCGCGAGTGCGCGGGCGCCGCAAGTGGCTCGCAGCAGGCTGGTCAACTCATGATCGGCTACGAGATGCAAATTTGCCCCTTGCCGCGCGCGGTGGGCGCTTCGAACGCGTAACTAACCACGTTTCCGCAGCGCTACAGCCTGACCCCCACCCTCAGGAATGCGCAGCAACTGTCGCGGGCGACGGGTCTGCTGCGACAGTTCGGGTGCACGGTCGAGAGCTCGCCGGGGAACCTCGCCTCGGCAGTTCACTCGACCCAACGCCGCGCGTTCCTCCCTGGCGCGCCTGCGCAAGATCAGGGTTCGAGCGCCTATGTCACTACGGCCGGATCGAGCTGCGAGGGCATGGGCCCCGCTGCCCCTGGAGCGGCATCGGGCCCGCCGGCAGCATCAGATGCTTCTGCCCCGGGCGCGGCGCCCATAGCATAGGTGGCGCGCTGGGCAGCAGGTGCCAACTCAGGCGCCGACTCCGACGCCATCAGCTCATGCGGCGACCCCGGGCCACGCAACGTGCCATTGGAACGACGCGGTGCGGGCTTCCCCCGGGCTCGCGCGCGCGCCCAGTCACGATGGTGCAGCGCCATCTATCTCACGCCCGCGCGCCGCGCCCGGCGCGCCAGTAGAGGCGCGGGCGCACGCTGCTTCAAAGTAATTGCACCTTCCGGGCCGATCTGTCCGAGAACGACCCCATCGGGGTGGTTTCGCCGGCTTTGCGGGGGGCGTTGGGGGGTTTGGGAGCAGCGGCGTGGATTCAGGCCGCCGAGGGAACCCACTAGGTCCTGACGGCGTCCGTCTCAGATGCCGCGAGTGCGACTCTGATAAGCGCGTCGTGCGCGACCGCCCCCTGGCGCCGCCGGCGAGGGCGCGTTCTTTCTCTCGGCGCCCCAGCCCCAGCAGCACCACCACTACCACCGACATCCTCACCACTTGCACATCTGGGGCGTCAGGGGGCGCCGTCTCCGCAACTCTCACCTGGCGCGCGCGCGGTTTCGATGGCTGGGGGCACCTCCGGGACCCCCCAGACGATGGGAGTTTCGGCGGAAGTGATCCAATGCCAAATGATGATCCGTGGAACGGCCGTCTCCAGAGGCGGCAGCACCGCGGTCAGCTACAACGGCAGTGCCAAGGTCGTCTCCCGACGGCTCGCGGTCAGCAGTGGGCTGCAGCCGCTGGTTGAGCTGGGCAGGGGCCTCTTCCATGTCACGCGCCCTCTCGTGTCGCGCCAGGCCAGGCTGCGACGCCCGCGTCGAGAAATGACCCGAGTTCATGGGCCGCGCGCAGCAGGACTCCGCTCAACCCGTGGGCCCCGCAGCTGCGTTCCCGCCCCGCGCGGCAAGGGTGGGGAACGCGGCGCCTGCCGTGCCTCCAGGACCGACTGCCCCGGAAGCGTCAGCAGCACCACCGCAATCGACGCCGTCGCGGCGGTGCATTCCCAGTGGGGCCAAGTTCATGGGCGCGCCTGAGCGACGTCAAAGTACGAGTCGCCGCGCCTCCGACCCCTCTTCCCCGCGTGCAGCTACCGGGCTGGGCTTGCGCGCCATCGGTCTCCGCCCTCGGCATCAGCGCGCCACGCGGATCAATCTCCACGCTGCCACCGCAAATCGCGCCGGCAGCAGCGTCGCCGCTGGTGCCGGATAGTCCCCGAGATCTGGCTTGCGTTCAATCGGAAATCCCCCGTCGACTCGCGCCAGCCATCTGGGACAGCGGCCGCGTGGTTCCCCGGCCGCGAGACCTGGGTGTCGAGCGGCGGCCGATCCGATAATGGCGCGCGCGCCGCTCTCGACGACGCGCAACGACGGCGCGCCGACGAGCTCCGCAACGCACAGCTGGCACTAGAGCTTGTTCGACAACGGGACGAACAGCGATGACATGCCGCGCAGAGTTGACAAGACCCCCCCCGTCAATTCTTTTCCTGCGCTGGCCAACGCGCCCGCGGCGGTTTTCCCAGTGGACGCGTTCGATGGCGACGACAGAGCACGTCTAATGTGTCTCGCGGCTTTCGTGCACATTGAGAGGGTGGTAGCTTGCAATGCCGCCGCATCTTGCACCAGGCATGCAATTTGCCGCTGCTGCTGAACAACGACGCCCAGTCGGTGCGCCGCCGGGCGCGCCGCGGCCCGTCCGACGTCATCGCCGATTCGGGCTAATGTTTTGCAGATCGTGCTTCGGCGAGTCCGAGGCCGACGGCGCTGGCGCGCGCGGCAGACCCTGAACCTACGCCCCAGGCGCGCTACGCGCTGGGCGACGACGTGCCCGGGGAAACTGCGCCGCAGCAGAACCTCGCGCAGTCTCCTCGCCCTGCGCCGGCACCTAGGACGCCGCTGCAGTAGTCTATGCTGTCGCAAGGCAGCGTTTCTGGTTCCGCGTCCGCCGTCGACGTGGCGGTGCCCTGCGGCGCCCGCCTGGACCTGCGCGCGCCGCCATGCCGACCTACGTTCCCGTGGCGGCCTACCTCGTCATATACAGGCACCAGTGCGTCGAACCGCTCAGCATGGCATCCGGCGGGCGCTGACTTCCCGAGCGTCTGGCGCGGCGTCGTCGTCGACATCTGCGCCTGGGCCGCCCCCTGGGGGCAAGGCTTTGCCATGAACCTGGCCGACGCGGCCCAGGTGGCGAAGCTGGCGCCCGCCGAGGAGAAGCTGTCGACTCCATTCTACGCGGCAGGAGTTTGCAACGGATCACAGGTTGCGCGCTGGGAGGCGCATTGCCCCGACGCGGCGGCTACCCGCGACGGCGCGACCACGCGGGGCGTCGCGCTCGGTCGGGCCAGGGGGGCGCGGGCTTCGATGTCTCCGCGCTTTTCGTTTTGCAATCCACGCAGTCCAACGATGGGGCGGCGGGGGCAGGCGCAGCCCGCGCGCGCCTCACTTTCCCCGGCCCAGGCGGCGACAAACATGCATTGGAACCCTGGCGCCGCCCACTTCGACGTGGGGTCGGCGCCGAGTGGCCGCGCATGCAGTCGGCCACCTTCCAGGGCCCGCCGCCCGCGCGGCTCGCGCTGCTGGTTGCGGGCAGCAGCGGCCACGACGACGACGCCAGCGACGGCCGCGATTTCCAGAAGCTATAGGCCCAGTTTCCTTGCCCCAACTCACTAGCGCCAGCGCGGGGCGCGCTTCGGTTGGCAGGCTGCGGCCTGCGCCAGTGCTGACGTCGGCGTCGTGACCTGTGGCCAGGATCTGCTGTCTACGGGCGCGGCAGTTCGCGCGCCGCCGGGCACCTACCCACAGGTTGCCCCGCGCCCAGGACTAGGCCTCAATGAGATCGGCGTCGTCGGCGGCGCGGTGGGGCCAGTCTACCGCGGCGAGAACAAGGTGATCGAGATCGCGGTCGTTCCCAACCCCCTCCAACCTCTCGTGGACCAGGTGGCCATGGACACGCGGGCGCGACGCGCCTCGGCCGCGACCCCGCCCCGGGAGAGGTGGGCGCCACAGCTTCATCAGGGTCTCTCTGTGATTATGTCGCCGAAGACTCCAAGGAGCTGCCCGTTCGGATGAGGAGGGCGGGTCAGCCCGCGAGGCCCGCGAGGTTGGCCCCGCCGACCTTCCGCGGGCAGCGGGGCCAGGCCGTCCCGCTTGGGTTCTGGAGAGTGGACGGAACACATCACCAGCGCTACGGGATCACGGCGTCGACGTCGCGCGCGCAGCCGTCGCGGCGTTGACGGACAGCGCGTGCTCCAGCTCGAACTGCAGCAAGCCTTGGATCACGCGCGACGCTGGCATGGGGCTACACTCGCTTCAAGATCGGCTCTCCGCCCGATCGGTGCTCGCGAGTCGCGAGGTCTCGGCCGCCAGGGTCGTGGTCTTCGGCCGCCGCGGCCAGCTGCGGAATCGACCGCCAGTGAAGCAGATCATCGACTCGCGCGTGCCCCACCAGACTTAGCATCGGGCCTGCCATAAGCCCTTGGCCCCAGAGGCCAAAGACAGCAGCGCTGCATTCACGGCGCTGATTGGAGCACCCATCTGCAACCAGCGGCGTAGATGCAGAATCAAGCCGGGGGAGCGCGGGGACGATTGGGCGGTCATCAACGAGAGATTGTATTGTAGCCCACCTTGATGCGTCGTGGGGTCTTGCGTTGCGCTCCCTGTGCAGTTGCTTATCGAACAGCGCGAGTGCGACGCGGCGCGCCGCCGCCGAGGCGCGGCGGCAGCTTGCGCGCCAGACTCGAAGGCGCCGCCCAGTTCTACGGCCACGCGCAAACGCAACGCCATGCCGCGCACTCAGCGCCAACAGCGTTTTCAGAACAATAAGCACGGTCAGAGCGACGACGCTAGACAGCGCGCACAGGGCGACAACTCCGACCAACCACGGGCGGGTCCTAGCGACTACGCCGTCGGCGCTTACCCGTTGGCAGAGCGCCAACGCCAGAAGATGAAGATACAAGAGAGCCACGTGCCCAAGGCACGAAGGCAGGTCGTGGACGACCGCGGCGACGACTGCGGCGCCGACCTCACGGGCTTGCGCCCCGCATGTTCTCGGCCCCCTGACCAGTGGCGACCGGGGCCGCGCCGAAGAGCGCGTCTAGGATGACCCCCGTGGCAACCTTGCCGCAGGTTTGCCCACATGGTGGTTCCATGGCTCGGTGGCCCCAGAATCCTGCCCTGCCTAGCCTGGGGCTGCAACCAAATTCGACGCCGCAAACCTCGCTTCACCAGAATACGGCGTAGACATCATTGAGACATGCGGCGGGGAGGCGCGGGCCATCTGACTGGCTGTTCGCCGACGCCTACGGGCAGGTGCAAACTTCGACCAGGCGACGGGCCGCGACTTCAACAGCGAGAGCCAGCAGAGAGCCGCGGAGAGATACGTCCGACAAATCAGGCCCTTAGTGGCCATCATGGCTCCCGCGCGTCGGCCTTTCTGTCGTCAGACCACATTCAATAGCAAACGCAATGACCGAGCAGGGTTGCACCCCTGCGAGGACGCTGCCCCAAGCGGCCGTTTCACTACAGCTGCAGCTCGGCGGCCACCTCGTCAACGAGCCGCCCGATCCATCGCGGCAGTGCGATGAGCCGCCCTGCCCAGAGGTGCTAGTGACAGCAGGCGTACGCCGGCGCATCTTCGACCAGTGCCGACTCTGGGTTCGAGATCGCCAAAGGGGAATGTTGAGGAAGTCCGCTGGTCTGGTCTCCAACGCCCTGGACATCCCCGAGCAGGTCGGGAACCTCAGGTGCACCAGCAGGCGCGCCCGCGTGCACGTCGAGGGTCACAACAGCATTGCATTGGCGCCCAAGTGGGGCCATGGAGAATGACCGAGCGGCCTGTCCACGGCATCGTGGACCCGCGCCGCCGTTCGAGACCCCCGCATCTCGCAAACTATGTTCACGAAATTGACGTCGAAGCGGCAGCCTTCCCAGCGCGGCAGCCTACCCAGCAGCGGCCTCCACGGTCGCAGGTGGCGAAACCAGGGGCGCGATGACCGCCGAGCGCGCGCGCGCGCTACTCTTCACTGCGCGCAGAGAGTGGAGCAGTGCTTGCGGGCTGTGGGAAGGAACCAGTCCGCCGCCTTGTGTGGTTCGTGGTGTCTTTCCGCGCCCGCCCGTATATGTGTTTTTGGACGCTTTCTGTTTTACGATTTTTGGAAGGCAGGAGCCTTCCAGCTCACATCGCTCTACATTTTCGGTTTCTTCTCAATTCGGGCATGGTTTCGTCAGCCCCCCCTTACGAGCTCATCCTTTGTGCCGCGTCGTCTTCGCGAACGTCGTTTTTTTTTTCGCCGACATCCATATTATCAGATTCTGTTCCTCGCCCTTCCCCTCCTCCCCTTTCTTCGCCTCCCCCTCCCTCGTTCTCTAGCGCCCTCGCTTTTCTCCTGCTCCTCCGCGCCGTCCTCCTCTTCATCATCCAATCCCGTCCCTTCGTCGGCCTCCGCCTTTTCCTGCCTCTCCGCCTCGTCCGTCCGAGGCCCTGTATTCCCGGTTTCGCAGCCCCCTCCCCCTGATCATCCAATCCTGTTCCTTCGTTCTCCGCCTCCTTCTCCTCCTCCTCCTCCTCCTCCTCCTCCCTCCTCCTCCTCCTCCTCCTCCTCCTCCTCCTCCTCCTCCTCCTCCTCCTCCTCCCTCCTCCTCCTCCTCCCTCTCCGCCTCATCTGTGTTTGGGGGGGACCTGGTGAGGTCGGCTTGCCGTCCCACGGACGAGATTTCCCAGCTCGGCAGGCGCATCCCCTGAGGACATCGGTTTGCAGTCGAGGTTGATTGGTAGGTCGACCCTGCCAAATCGAGGGTGCCTTTGCGCACTGTGTTTCGCGGCCCACGCTTCCCGCCTGGCCCATGGCCCATGGCAGTGCGGCCCTCGGAAGGGCCTCGTGTCCTCCCGCGTGTCTCCTCCAATCAGCCCCGACTGTACCCGCAGCTGTCTCGCCGATATTTCTCCTCACCCGATGGCCCCGTGAGATCCAAGGGCGAGGCTGGTGCCGACGAGGTGGAGGAGACGACTCAGGAGGGGAAAAAACACACAGACACAATTAATCGTCGATCCCTAGGAAAATATGGGAAAATATGGGAAGTGGTGGGGAAGACAAAAACCCAGAAAATATAGTAAAATATGGGGAATCTTTTTATTTGTGTATATTTATTTGTGTGTCCCAGTTTCCCTTCAACGACGAGGTGGACGAGAAAGAGCGGGGCTCGAAGGACACGAGCTGCGAGCGGCGCCCCTCCTGCCCGGCCCAGATCCCCCCGAGATCGGTCCCCGGACCCCTTTCCGTGGTCCATCTTGACTCGGATTTCGGGACGCATCCGGCCGTGGCGACGACCCCGACCCCCTCGCGTCGTGAAGGAGGAAGAGGAGGAGGAGGAGGAGGAGGAAGAGCAGGACACGACGGGAGGTTTTCGCTGGTTTCGGCCTCCGAAGGCCTTGGACGGGCCTCGGTACCGAAACAAAAAGCTGCGGGATGGAAACATGGGTCGAGACCATTGGGGGTCGATGTTATGAGAAAAACATGACGTCGGGGTTCTGGGGAGAAGCCTCCAGGAGGCCCGAGCGGTCTCCACCGACCCCGCCTCCGAGGCTGGGCCGGGGGAACACACGATGACACAAACGTACATTCTCGGGGGTCTGCGCGGACTTCTCGGATCTGCGCTGGAACCCCCTGAGGGCGCCGTCGGCGCCGACCCTGGCGCGTTCTGCGCGCCAGGGGGGAGGGTCCAGCGCCGATCCAAGAATTCCGAGCGGACCTCCGAGTGGTGGGCAACTTGGGAACTGCTTGGGGGCGTGGCTGAGCCTGTTGGAGGCTGTTTTGAAGCGTCTTGGGAGCCGTTTTCAGGTTCTGTGTCGATCGGGGGCCCCTTTTGGGTCGTTTGTGAGTTTCTCGGGGCTTCTTGGGACCCTCTTGGGTGATTTTCTAATATGCATGTACTCGTTGATTCCCTTATCCGAGGCATGCACAGAAGCAGGGTGCGTGCTGACATCGCCGTCTGTCCCCCACCACCCCAGGCCGTCTACGAGGTACGGGTGCTGCGCGAGCCGCTGCGCGCATCGGGCGCGGTGCAGCACGCGATGAGCTCGCCAGCCGGAGGACATTTGATTTGGTGCCGTCCTTTGCACTGCGTGGTATCTTCTCCTTCTGAGCACCTTGCCTGGGCAGACCGAAGGTAGGTAGGTACCTTTCCTCAGCCCGAAGGTACTTGAGGACGCTTCCCTGGGCAGTCCGACGGTACCTGAGGACGCTTCCCTGGGCAGCCCGATTGTACCTGAGCTCGCTACCCTGGGCAGCCCGAAGGTACCTCCAGGTACTTTTCCTCGGCAGCCTCCTTCGGTCAGATAGTGGCATGAACAGAAAACTTCGGACCGCTCGAATTTCTCGGATCGGCGCTGGAGCCTCTTGGCGGTGCCTTCGGGTTCGCCTTTGGCGCGCTCCGCGCGCCAGGGAGGGGGGTTCAGCACCGATCCGAGAAATCCGCGTTGACCTCAGAGTTCTTCTATTGATATCATGGTTTGTTCCTCGACTCCTATTCTCTCCTTCAATCTTGACGCACCCCCAGTGGCATATGATCATCTACGGACAATCTGCGGCATACGCAGTAAGACTGTATGGAAGGCCACAACGTGTTCTTAGTTCCCAGGTGATGTTCCTGAAGAGTCCTCGTGGAGGACTCCTGTGAGCATGGCTGGGAAATCTGTCTCTTCCCAGGATGTGACCTGCTTTCCCCCGCTTGGCATCAGCCTTTCCCCGCCAATTTTGTTCGGGAGGGTCCATTTGGAGGGCTGCTGGGAACGTGGTCGGGAGTTCTGCGATCTCTTGTGATGTGGCCTTCGTGGGGGTGCCTTTGGAATACCATCTAGACGCCTACTGAAGCTCTCTAGGCGGCATCTTTCTTTTCGGCCTCTGGGGTAGTATCTACTGGGGGGGGGCAGGGGGAGACGTGTTCCCAATCATGTTTTTGCGGCGCGTTCGTGGCCAACCTGTGTGGGCCTTCTTGGGATCCCGCAGGTGCCCTTTTGGATGGGCCCTTCTGTAATGGGGTCTCGGAGTCGTCTGGGGGGCATCTTACCGTGGGCACCTCTTTGGCCGTCTTGGACGCTCTTGAGGCCGAGCAGGCGGGCGTGCTCATATCACATGTGTCCCTTCGGCTACCCCCCAATATGTTTGCCTCTTCAGCCGGTACCAGGTCCCGACCTGTTGTCATAGAGATCTCCAAGAAGGCCTGCCGACAGGTAATTTGGACCAGCTTGGGAATGGTAGAAGCCCGGTTGCCCCACCATGTGGGCTTTGATTTGCCCCAAATCGTTGAATACGTTGAAGCTCTAATCCATTGAGGATGGCGGCGCGTCTGAGGGGTCAGCCTTCTGAGAAGGCGGGGGGGTCAGGGGTCGACCTTCTGAGAAGGCGGGGGGGGTGTTCTGAGCAGGCGGTGGGCCGAATGGAAGCCGTCCTGTCTTTTGAGAGCGCTTCCTGGGAGCCTCTGGGCCTCTCTTAGAAGACCCCGCCTCCTACTAGCCCCCCCGCCTTCTCAGAAGGCTGCGCTCGTCGCGCCCCAGGCGCGCCGTCCACAGGGACTGGAGGTAACTCATTTCACTGCGCGACAGAGGCAGGGTGGCAGGCGACCGGGTGATGAGGGTGTTGTTGCCGTCCAGCGTGCTTTGTGGACTGCGGCTTGACCTGGTCTGTTTTGACATGGCCTCGCGGGCAAATCGCCTCTGGGCTCAGTCTGACTCATGGGGGAGCTTGTCAAGATCCCCCCCCCTCCCCCCTTCCCCTCGTCCTCCCTATCATCCCCCCCCCTCCCTACTCCTAACTCCCCCTCGTCCCCGACATCTTCTTCTCCGCGTGCATGAGAGGTGATGGGCTTCGCGACTCGCCTGGGGTGCGCTCGCGCGGCTGGATGTAGCACGCACGGCCCTCGGGCATGGCCAGAAGGTTCCGAAAGATTCCCTCCCACCACTACAGTGGGGGCCCATGCCAAGAAACACTCTGCTTGCCTCCAGGGTGTCCTGGGTTTCTTGGGTTTCGATGGTTTTGCGATGGAGAGCGTGACGTTCTCAGACCAAAAATCGATGGACCGCCCGGGGCCTCAGGGCTGGGTTTCTTGTGGAGGGTTTCTTGTGGACTGGCCTTAACTGTACTCGCAGTGTGGGCTCCTTCCCAAATCCGTGTTAGGGCGCGCCTCGCTAGCGCGCCTCGTCCCCGTCGTTGGCGTCGGCGTCGTCGTGGTCGCGGTGCGTGCTGCTCTGCTAGCTTGTCCCCCTACGCTGTGACCACCACCACCAACCCTCTCGACCTCACTCTCCTATCCTTCGCAACCCTCTCGTCCTCACTCTCCTGTCCTTCGCCTCCCGCCCCCTCTCCTTCCCTTTCTGCCCGCTCCCCCCCCGGTCCTCTTCCCCTCCCGTCCCCTCCTTCCCTTCCCGTCCCGTGCCCGCCCCGTCCCCCCATCCTGCCCGTCCTGCCTCACCATCTTTTCTGCCCACCTTCCCCCCCTCCCGTTTTTTCCTCCATTCTCCTCCCCCGTGATTTCCTTTTGGCGTGGCAATCTCAAGGTGCAGCACATCGTTACTGCGCTGAGACTAGTTTCGCTTGTGGGGTTCGTCCATCCGCTAATGAGCACAAGACGGCAGCAGTGTGCGAGAGATCTACAATCAAGATGCGGTGGCAATCACATCAGGCTCCACGTGTTCTGGGGACCCCCTGCCCGCCCAACGCCATGTCAAGGGGAAGAGCCTCAGAATTCTATAGGGTTGCACGCGGTGTATCTGCGCAGCCCTCTTCTCCATGGTTTGCAGCACTCGACTGCGAGTCTCAACGTCCAAGCCACACCAGAAAACTGAGCAAAGCGTCTGCTGTCGGCCCCACGCTGCTTTTCGCATGAGCGGGGCTTCGCTTGCCGCAACGCTGGTCGATAGAAGGATACACGCTCTTGATGTCCATGACATGTATCTCGTCGTCGTCGTCGGAAGCTCGTACATGCCTCAGGGAGTCGGTATTTATCACCACATTCTTGCACTCATTCTGCACAGGGGCCAACAAACCGTATTGGGCCATGTTGCGTTTTTGAACCCAAGAATTTGACAGATTGACGATCGGCCTGCCAGTGATTGAAGTCTTGGGGATCTTTAGACGGATCCTGGAACTCCCCGGATTATTATGGCTGAGGGATTCTTCCAGATGGCGGATCATGTTCCGGCTCAGGTAACCGTGGTCACTGTGTTGTTTTGCGGCGTGCCCGAGGAGTTGACGTAACGTTATGTTTTCTTGCGTTCGTTTTCTCTAAGAATTGGTTCTCTGATATGTGTACCGCGATGTTCGTCAGTTGGTCACGGTTTTCTCTGTTTACCCACGAAATCAGAAAGAATCAATATCCCAAGGTTTTCTGTCTGTGTCTAGACATACGACGGTGTATGCGTTCATCATGGGCCACCTCACGGCCCGTCGGTCGAAGTAGGTGGCTCAGCTCTTGGTCGGCTTGGGCGTGTATTCCCTGTCGAGAACGTCAGCTGCACAGCGATGGTGCTGTTGTACGAGCTATCTTGCGGCCAGCCGCGGGGAGTATGTATTGTTGATTGGCCACGATGGCCCAGAGAAGTTTTCTAAATCCATCTGCATTGCCAGGCGCGCGAGGCTCGGCTTGGCGCCCACCACTCGAAAATCGGCTTACTCGTCCAGGAAAGTGTGGACCCGGTGTGGGTCCGGCCGAACGGTCAGATAATCGAACCGTGGCCGCAGCACGCACGCAACAAAGTATCTCCCCAGGTTCACTTCCGTCAGGCTGCTGTGCACCCACTACGACTGCCGAGGTGGTTTCCACATTTGTCAAGACTGCCTTGAAGCCTGCGCCCGGCCTTCCCCTTGCCCTTGCCGCGCCCGCGGCCTTCGCCCCTGCTCTTGCTGGGTTTCGACCGAGGCGCGTTGATGCGAGCAGAGCGGACAGAGCGCGATGTCTTCACCGATGGGTTGCGTCCCTGGGACCGCCATGACGCTTTCGAGGCGCCCCTGGAACGAGAAGTCCCCGTCGCCTTCCGAATCGTCGGGCGGCCTCGTGAAGATGGTTCTTGACGATGCCTTCGATGCCCTCGTCTGTCGTGATGCGGATCGCGATGTGCTCCCACTCCGGTTGTGCGGCTTTGTTGATTTGGTTGTTGTGTGCATGTCAATCCTGAAATGTTTGAGCACGTGTGGCTTGGCATTCAAAAGGCTCGCAATCACTCCACCAGTTGGGACTCGATGAACTGATTTGGGATCGCGACGCGGCCTGTCAGTGCCGTCGACCTCCGGGTCGTGTTTCCTGTGTACTTCCACTGCCTTCCCTTTGCTCTGCTCCAGCGCCGCCACTTGAACGACAGCCTTGGTATCCAGCTCAGCGATCTTTCTGGCGGCATTCGAAAGGTTCTTCTCCCGCTTCAGCTGGTCCATGTTCATTTTTGTGACACCTTCCTGGCGGAGGGGGATGTCCTTACGGAGGCAAGCCGAACAATATCGACCTGCTGCCTTGTCGACGTTGGCCTTGTCAGCCTCTGTCGGGTGCGGGTCTTGCCCCGCTCACACCCTGACGTGCGATATGACCGCCTCAAGCATGGACTCGGGCTGGCACTTCTGCGCGTGGTACTTGAAAGCCCCTCCTCTCCTCCATTCTCCCCCCCCCCCCTCCCGCCGCCTCCTCCCCCTCCCTCCCTCCCTCCCTCCCCCCTCCTCCCCTCCCTCCCTCCCTCCCTCCCTCCCCCGCCTCCCCCCTCCCTCCTCCCCCTCCCGCCGCCTCCTCCCCCTCCTCTCCTCCACTCTCCCCCCCCCCCCCCCCCCCGCCGCCTCCGCCCCGTCCTCGCGGCCCAGGTCCTCACAGGCGGAACGTCGGGGCCCGCGTCTGGGGGCTGCAGGGGGAGGGGCCTCCTCGCAGGCGTAGGGAGGGACAGTGCGTCCCCAGGCTCCTACAGCCTCCTCCTCCTCCTCCTCCTCCTCCTCCTCTCCCTCCTCGTCCTCGTCCTCCTCCTCCTCCTCCTCCTCCTCCTCCTCCTCCTCGAGGTCTTCGCAGCAGAACGACCCGCCACCGCGCTACGAGGCACGAGCTCCTGGTCGACCCTGCCAGATCAAGGTACCCTT